TGACTCATAGCAACCCCTCTTTGGGTTTCCAAGGTGGCATCACTACAAATGTAGATTGCCCAATCTTCCTTCCGAGCAGTGGCTGGTGGGTTTGAACTGCCAGCCTTCTGGTTAGCAGTCAAATACCTTAGGCTCTACACCACCAGAGCTCCTACTGTGTCAACTAGATATCCATAAAATATTTAAAAAAGAAAATTTGACTCTTCCCTCCTATAATATGCAAAAATTAATTTCCAGTGAATTATAGATATGAATGTAGGGGATAAAACTGTATAGTTTCTAGAAGATCACATATGAAACTATCTTTACGGCCTCAGAGCAAGAATAGGATACAATAAAACATTAACCACAAAGGAATGGATTCCATAAAGGATTTAGACTGTGTGAAAATTAAGAACTTCTGTTCATTCTTAAAAGAGTGAAAGGACAAGCTACAGAATGAAGATTTTGTCACACATAAGCAACAAATGGCTTATGTCCAGAATATGTAAAGGAATTCCCACAAATCAGTAAGAGAAAAAAATGGGCAAGTGACTTGAACACCCATGGCATAAAATATTCCAAAGGGGCAATAAACATATAAAAAGGCGCTCAATCTCATTAGTCAGGAGAAAATAATAATAATAAAAACCCACACTGTGATTTTACTATAAAACCAAAACCCAACCCCCTATCATGGAGTCTATTTAGACTCTTAGTGTACGAAGCCTGTTGCCAATCTTTAGGGAAGCAGACTGCCTAATCTTTCTCTCATGGAGCAGCAAATAGTGGCTTCAATCCCCCAATCTTTTTGGTTATCAGCCCAATGCTTTAACCATAGCTCCAGGAAAGCTCCTTATAAAACCACCAAAATGGCTAAAATTACAAAACCCAACAACATTGGCAAAGATAGGGAACAAGGGAAACTCCCATATGATGCTGGTGGGAGTATACTGGTACAACTATTTTGCAGAACAGTTTGAGATTATCTACTGTGAGTTAGCAATTCTTCTACTGGGTATAGAGCCAAAAGAAATGTATGCCCACAGGCACAAAAAACACATATAGCAACATCCATAGCTCCATTATCCATAATGGCCCAAAACAGACCAAACAAAGATCTTTCAACAATATACCAAAAAATCCAAACTCACCGCCATGGAGTCAATTCCAACTCATAGTGACCCCCATTTTCCGAAGCAGTAATCTTTACGGAAGTAGACTGCCCCATCTTCTGTGGAGCAGGCAGTGGGCTTGAACCTCAAACGCCTTAGGCTCTGCACCACTAGAGTTCCTTATCAATAATATAGTGGATAAATAAACTGTGGTACATCATACAATAGTTTTCTATACAGCATGAATAAACTATAGCCACAAACAACCATATTCATATCACAGTGTTGAGCAAAAGAATCCAGACAAAATGAAATATACTCCATAATTCCATTTCACTCTATGCTCAAAACACAGGCAAAACTAAAATGTCATGTTCAGGGATACTTCCTTTGTTGGAAAAACTATAAAGAAAAGCAAGACAGTGTTCACCAATAAAACACCAGGAGAATGTTTACCTTTGGGGGTGGGTGAGAGAAGTAAATAGGAAGGGGTCACCGTAAGGAGATTCTAGAGCACTGGCAATGTTCTATTTGTTAACCTGGTGTTGGTTGTAAGGTGTTGACTTTGTGATAAATCTCTGTCCTCTCAACCTTTGTTTTCTGCTCTTTCCTGTATGTGTATGAAGTCTCAGTTAAAAGAGGTGAAATAAATCAATGGACCCACAATAGAAGACTTCATTGTATCAATACCTACATTTATTACCTGGAATCTGAAATAGAATAATTTCTTTAATGGCAAGTATTTTATATAGCATTCTGCACTAACATCTCACTAGCATCATGATGATCACGCCACTCCTCGGAAGGAAGATCGGGCAATCTACTTCCGCAGTGACTGCCTCGGAAACCCAAGAAGGGGTTGCTATGAGTTGAATCTCACTCGATAACACATAACAACAACAACAGCCAGTTAACAAGGAGCTTTGGTGGTGCAGTGCCTAAGGCATCTGACTGTTAACCAGAAGATCAGCGGTTCAAACCCATCAGCCACTCTGCAGAAGGAAAACATGGCAATCTACTTCTGTAAAGATTTACCACTTCGGAAACCCAATAGAGGTTGCTATGATTTAGAATCGACTCAACGACAGTGGGTTTGGTTTGGTTTTTGATTTGTCAATTAACAGTGGGTGGGTTTCCCATTGCTGAATGGACTCTAGTGTACTGGTCCAGATAATACATTATATAAAGGTCCTGAGATCTCCCAGGAAAATTCCAACAACTCACACTCCACATTTGTTTTTCTCTCCTCTCCTCACAGGCTTTCTTTCTTCAGTTCTCAGCTCCAAGTGTCATTTTCTCAGGGCATATTTCCTTGCTTCCATCCCTGTTCCCAACTAGGGTTAATCGAATCATATTCCTCTCCTTATGGTACTTGTGCTAGTCCTTCTGTTTACCCTCACTCCCCAAATTTGTTCTCTACTCTTCTTTGCCCTGGGAAGCTGACTACTTCATCAAGACTCCCTGGCTCTACTGGGTTCCACTGATGGGAGCCAATGGCAGAAGATGGGAGGAAGGGAAGAGAGAGCGATCAGGGTGTCCTCCCCACCCCTCGCTCTTTGTCTGTATTTCCTAGAGCAGCTGCTTCTCTCCAGGCCAGAGCTCTTCCTCCAACACCCAGGTTCTCATAGGCTCCAGTAGCATCATTCCTACCTCTTGATCTTCAGATCCACTGCTTTGCGTCAATATACTTTAACGGTTCTTGTAACCCTGCCTCCACCTTTTTAAGTGGTCTTTTCATTAAACTCTCTTCATGTGAACTAGGTTGGATTCTGTTTTCTGCAGGGACCCTGGAGAGTGGCACTTTTACATTAGTTTTTGTGATTATTTCATCAACATCTGTCTTCTTCTGCTAGGCTGTGATCTTTGTAACACTGGAACTCAGGAAACTGTCAGTAAGTATTTGTTAAATGATGAAATGAGTTAACGAATGAACTTATATTAGAATTAACACATATATGGCGGTGCAATGGTTAACAAGTTTAGCAGCCAACCGAAAGGGTAGAGGTTCAAGGTTCGAGTCCACCCACAGGTGCCTTGGAAGTTAAGCCTGGCAATCTATTTCCCAAGAATCGGCCATTGAAAATTCTATGGACCACAGTTGTCAACCAAGAGTCAGAATCTACTCAACAGGAAGTCAGTTTTTTTAATATGTAGTACAAAGATTTCTTAAAATGTTCCTGCTACATCTGATGTGGCACCAATCTATCAGTGCAAACATCCTACCTCTGCTGACTGAAAATAGCCTTTGTTGGCAAAAACATTTTTACTCATGATAATAACTTATTCATTTCTGCAATAAGTACCATAGTGATGATTTCTTAATTAAAAAGATACTTTTATCCATGTGAAATAAGTTTAACAATATGATTTCAAGTGGACTGTAGTCAGTGCTAGCTCTAAGAGTCAGTAGAAACACAATAAAAATCTTAAGTAGAAAAAGAAGGTTTTGCATTTCTCAAAGCCTATTGCAAACAACCTAGGAAAATAAATAGCATTACATTGTGTAGGAGGATTAACTCCAGGCCAGAAATATTCTTTGTTTGTTAGTTTAATAAATTATCTACTTAATATCACTATCCTAAGATTTAAAAAAGAACATTTTGACAGATATGCAAGTTACATATTAATGTATACTCTCAGACAATTTCTACAAAATGATGTAGAAAATTCTGATGCCAAGTCACTAATCATAATTTCCAGACAGACTCTGGAGCTCTGCAGATTCCTTTCTCCTTTATGGCTGAAAGTACAGAAATGAGTTGTTTACCTACAGTCTGTCTAAAGCACTAGAAAGACCTTTCAAATATAACCACTGTACCACTGTACCACATCACTTGAATTTTAACCTTGAGAAAATTAGTTTATAAATTATAATCACACTATTAAATACATACTACATGAAGAATTTTTTATTGGATAGGAGGGTGATACATTCTGAACAAGGAAGAGGTCAAAGTTCATCTCTTTTCTGCAGTCTCTTCCCTGGTTAAACTCCTATTTCTTCTGCTAACTTTTTCACTGTAAGAAACATTCCAGTTCTATACATTCTAACAGCGGGAAGGGAAGGTCCACTTCCTCTAGTATCATAGGAGTTCAAGATTATTTGTAACCTACCCATGCAAACGGTTTAGTTGATAAAGGAAGGCCTTTCTAATGTCACACTACTTGGGATAAAGGTTTGACTGATCCATAATGTTGAACGATACGATATTGCTTCAGTGACAGTTACATTATTAATACCTTGTGAGGGAGAAGAAGATGAAGTGATGGAGTTAAAATGCAGTTATACAGCTAATCCAACCAGAACCAGATAACTTGCTTTGTTTTATATGCAACAAAAGAATTCCTTTTTCCTTATTCATTCTCTTCGGTCATAACTAATATAGGAAATGACCACACCAGCTCCTTACAGATTGCTTCCGTGGAAACAAAAGGCTATTTTATACCCCATCCTGCTATTGCCAGTGAAGACAGTGAGGTAAAAATTAACCTTCCTCTATCCCTCTTAACCATACAGAGATATTAAACACACATACACACACAGAAACCGGGCGCGGGGTGTGTATATATGTGTGGTGGTGTGTGTGGGGGGGGTGCGGCTACGTAGCAATTTCAATTCATAAGGGCTAATACTCCCCCTTATCTCTGATTCACTCATCCCCATTCTCATCAACATCACCCACTTATTGAGCTACCATTACTTCACAGGCTCAACCCGACAGGGTCAGAAAAGAAGCATCTTCCAGTTTCAAAATCACTACTCCCAAAGCCCAGCACGCACCAAGGCGGGGCGGTCGCCAAGCCCCAGGAGATCGGGCGGCGTCTCGTGTGCCTGCAGCCCAAGGCCCGCAAGAAGCGTCGCAGCGTTCCGGATCCCCTCCGCAGGGACCCGCCGTAGGTCCTTACCTGCCAGCCCACCGCCGCCGCCTCCATCACCCGCATGCCCCTTCCTCCGCTGCAGGATGAAGTACGGGTTGGCTCGCTCGGTGATCCACAGAGCATTGGCCAGCAGCACCTCCTCAGGGTTCACCCACATGTTCCCTGCCGCCGCGGGTGGACGCACAATGGGGCCGCGGGTCGGGTCTTGCACACACAAGCGCGCTCAGGCGCGCACTCCAGGCACACGCGCGCCCGCCCTCCCGCTAGGTGCGCGGACAGAACGCGACTTCACCAGGGGGCGGCTCGTGGCGTCCGGACCACAACAAAGCCCCCGCGGGCGGCCGGGGAGGACGGCGAGGACGCGGGCACGACTAGCAGCATCCTCCCCCCGGTCCGGCGCCCGCAGCGAGACGGCGGCCGCAGACGCCCAGGCCGCCGCCTCCCGCGCCGCAGCCCGGATCAGGTCCCGCGGCGGACGAAGAATCAGAAGGAGGAAGGGAAAGGGAAGGAAGAGCAGGAGGAAGTGTAGGGCTGAGTCCCAGGATCCGGATCGGCAGCTAGCAGGGCTGCGGACGACGCGAGCTGATTCGGCCCTGCAGTCAGGGCTGAGCTTGGCTGGGGCGCGGCTGGTCCCGCAGCGCCGACCCGAGTCCCTGGGCCGCCTCAGTCGCTGGGGTCTCAGCGCTTCCGAGCTTACTGCACGTTACGACTCCGCATCCAGGCCCCTTACATCCACGGCGAATCCCAGCGCCCGGCTGGAAGGACGCTCCGGACACTGCGAATGAATGACGACAGCTCTGCTCACCGGGAGCCAGCCTGGGTGGCACCAGTTGCCGCGGGTTTTCAAGCGGTCTTTGCGCGCCGAACTGGGCTGCTGAGGCCGGCTTTGGGCGAAACTTCGGTGGACCGTGTGCCAAGCATTGGGCCCCACGCCCACCCCAATAGGGAGGACGCTGCCAGCCTGCGTGGATGTGTGTGTGTGTGTGTGTGTGTGTGTGCGCTGTGTATATGTTTAAGATTGACGCTCTTTCAGATAGCTCCTCCCCTCTTCCCAGGAAATATGGGTTTCAAGGTTCCAGACCTGGAGCTGAATACCGAGGTCGGAAGTCGGCGCAGCCAATGGTTGCCCATGTTTTTGTTTCCTGCATCCCTGGGGCAAGTCATGCGCTAAACTTGTCATCGCCAGTGACCCCTCCCCTTCTCCATTCCATTGTAATTAAAGTGGCCCAGCTAAGTGCATTACATCACTTCTTTCCTTGACCTGTAGGGCAGGAGCAATAGAGAAGTTGGAAGCGGCCCAAAAGCTTAGACCAACTAATTCACATCACAGCTGTTCATAGGTCAGGTATTTGAAACTTCAAGGACCAGGCATGGCAGAATTCAGGGATTTATCCATAATTAATGGAATAAATATTGATTTTAAAAAAATCATTGAAACCAGAGACAAACAAACTAGGCCAGCTTTATCCCTAGACAGTTTTACTTTCCCAATGTTCTTCTCTGAGGCTCTCGTGGGGATCACAGCCCATCTGTCTACATATCTCATGATCTTTTTTCACCTCTATTTACATTCAAGAGATCTGAGTGTAGCGCTAAAGGCAGGGAAAAAAAAAAAAAAAGGAAAAAAAGCTTCTCTTCTCAGCTGATGGGAATTTGCCACAGACTCTTGTCGTGGAGGAGCTCTGCTGGCATAGTGGTTTAGGCATTTAGCTGCTAACCAAAGGTTGGAGGTTTGAACCCACTGGCTGCTCCATGGGAGAAAGATGAAATGTCTCCTTTCTGAAAGATTTATAGCCTTGGGACCCTATGAGGCAGTTCTACTCTGTCCTATAGGGTCACTATCAGTCAGAATCAATTAGATGGCAGTGGTTTTGGTTTTGGTGCTTTGTTGGGGAGATTGGACAATCATAGGGATTTCTTCCTTTCCAAATGAGGAAAGCATTCAAATAAGACTTTCTTGTGTGGACTTCAAAATGTTCACTCATGTAGCTCTCACTTTGTAGTGCTGAATTTCTTCAAATGGCTGAGTGAACACATGGCCAGCCATTTTAATGAGGCTTCACTGAACTACCAGTGGGCAGTTTCCCTTTATGTTACCTGACAGACCAAACTCTTTTTTAGGACACTTTAGATTTCTAGGCATTTGTGGGGTCTAAATGTGATTTGGTATCGTCAGCCACAGTATGATGTTTTCAGTCACAAAATCCTATTGTAAATAGGAAAATGAAAAACAGCAAACAAGATTATAAATCAGACACATATAAAATTATATTAATAATATATTTATATAACTTAACATGTTTGAAGACCATCCGTAGATATTCTCTCACTTTATGTAATAAGTATATATATTTTTTAATTCTACCAAGTATATCAATACTGTTTTTTGAACTATCCTTATCATACTCTTCAAAGTTATTTGACACTGAAACCTCCACTCTAGCCCTGAAGTGTGAATTTAGCTTACCACTTTTTATCTTTTGTTTCCAGAATGTTATTTACTTACATAATTCATACATACATCTATTTATTCATTCATTCATTCAACATATATTATTGAAAGTCTACTATTCTCTAGGCCAAGAAGATAAAAGATGAAGAAAGTGTACAAAATCCCTTGCCTTTGTGAAGATTACAATGTTACAACCAAAACAAATTTACAAAATTTATTTTTGAATCATTAGCTATTTTCTAGTTTCTTGCATGAGTTAGAGCAAGTTTTCTGCAGGAAACCGGGGCATATTATTATTTTAATAGAAGAGCTCTGGTGGTGTAGTGGTTAAAGCATTTGGCTGTTAACCAAAAGGTTGATAGTTCAAACCCACCAGCTGCTCTGCGAGAAGCCAATGAGGCAATCTACTTCCTAAAAGCTTTACAGCCTTGGAAACCCAATGGCGATCACTACGAGTCTGAATCAACTCGATGACAGTGAGTTTGGTTTTGGTTTAATATTATAATAGATTATGACAACCTGTAAAGAAAAGTATCACAAAGAAGCAGAGAAACTTTACATGGCTGTTTGCAGTTCCATACTGCTAAACTTATTAAAATGTCACTTTGTAAAAAAAAATTAAAAAGGACAATCAAGTATACCTGAACTAGAATCTAATTAATCCAACAAGTTCCTCTGTGAAATAGGTGAATATATTTAGCTTTCAATTCATTCTCATTCATTTTAAGCCCCAGGATTGTCTCAAACCACCTGAAGAAAAAAGCATTCAATAGATGCCTAGATAGGGTGGGGGTAAATGAGGTCACTGCTTTTGTCTGAGCCTCTTCTAAGATCTCCCATTCTCTCTCCCCAAATAATTGGTTAGCCCTTACTAATTTAGACATGTCATTAGGAAAGACCAATCACTAGAAAAGTACATCACATTTGGTAAGGTAGTTGTTGAGTGCCATTGAGTCAGTTCCAACCCCATGTGACAGCTTGGAACTACCTCATAGGGTTTTCTTGGCAGTAATCTTTACGGAAGCAGATTGCCAGGTCTTTCTCTTCCAGAGAGGGTCAGTGAAAACAAGAGAGACCCTCAATGACATGAAATGACACAGTGGCCACAACAGTTGGCTCGAACGTACTAATGATCATGAAGATGGTTCCAGATTAGGCTATATTTGTGCTGTTATACATAAGGTCGCCATGACTCTGAGCCAACTTGATAGCAACTAATAACAACAATAATACAATGGTTGAAAGAATTGACCCATGAAGGGGTTCTGCTTGCTTCACCTTGAACAATATATTAGTTTACTGTTTAGTGGGCAGATGTGACTGAGGTAAAATTGTGAGAGCAATAAATCTGGCTTTAGCAATTCCCACACACACATCCTCACCCTTTCTGCTTTTTCACATTCACAGTGGTGCATTTTCCTCCCTATCCTCACCTTCTCAAAGTAAGGCCTCTTCTTTGCCTTACTGGGACTTGCCCCAGAGAATACCATGAAGTCTCTGAAACTTTCTTATTTCTGCCCACCCCACAGTTGTCACTGCAGGACCCACTCCTGCTTGGCCCAATTTTCTCAGCAGTATGGGAAAGAGGGCTGGAGAACAATGACCTCATTAACAGTTCTATCACCCGGCAGTTCCCACTGTGGTCTGGCCAGTAGAAAATTCAATTCTAGTTTTAATAGAGAGAATTCATGCAGCCGAGTAGAGCTAATGCTGCCCTGAGGAGTCCCAGGGTGCTGCAAAGGGTTAATGTGCTCAGCTGCTAACTGAAGGGTTGGAAGTTTCAGTCCATCCAGAAGCTGAATGAAAGAAAGAAAGGCTTGGAGATCTACTTCTGAAAAATCAGCCATTGGAAATCCTCTGGAGTACAGTTCTCTTCTGGCACATATGGGTTCTCCATGAGTTGAAGTTGACTTCATGGCAACTGTCTCCAACTCATGGTGACCCTATGTACAACAGAATGAAACATTGCCCAGTAGTATATCATCCTTGCAATCCTCGTTATACTTGAGCCCATTGTTGCAGCCACTGTGCCAATCCATCTCATTGAGGGATTTTCCCCCTTCTCGCTCATCCTTCACTTTCTCAAGCATGATATCCTGCTCTGGGGAGTGGTTCCTTCTGACAGCGTGACCAAAGTAGGTCAGACAAAGTCTGGCCATTCTCGCTTCCAAGGAGCATTCTGACTGCAATTCTTCCAGGACAGATCTGTTAGTTCTGGCAGTATTCTTCACCAACACCACATCTCAAAAGCATCAACTCTTCTTCGGTCTTCCTTATTCATCTTCCAGCTTTCCAATGCATATGAGGTGATTGAAAGTGTCGTGGCTTCAGTTGGTCACACCTTAGTCTTTGAAGAGATATCTGTGCTCTTCACGACTTTAAAGAGGTTTTTCTGCAGCAGATTTGCCAAGTATAATGCGATGTCTGCTTTCTTTACTGCTACTTGCATGGCAGTTGATCATGGATCCAAGTAATATGAAATTTGTGACAACTTCTATCTTTTCTCCATTTATCATGATGATGCTTATTAGTCCTGTTATGAAGATTTTAATTTTCTTTATGTTGAGGTATAATCCATACTGCAGACTATATTCCAACTTATAGTAACACTGTGTGTCAATAGAATGAAATACTGCCTGGTCCTGCACCATTGTCATAATCATTATCATGCATGAGCCAGTCATCACAGCCACTGTATCTGTTCATCTCACTGAGGATCTTCCTGTTTCTCGCTGCCTCTCCACTTTACCAAACATGATATCCTTCTCCAGGGGCTGGTTGCTTCTGACAACATGACCAATGTACAAAAGATGAAGTCCGACCATTCTTACTTCTTAGGAACATTCTGGCTATACTTCAACCAAGACAGATTTGTTCATCCTCTAGCACTCCATCGTATATTCAATATTCTTCACCTACACCACAATTCAAATACATTAATTCTTCTTTGGTCTTCCTTATTCATTGTA